GGGGGGGGGGGGGGGGGGGGGGCAGCGGTAGCAGAGCACTACATCAAGTAGGGGTCTCTACAGAACGTGCTGTCCTGTGGGCGAGGTCTTAATGTGGGCGGAGATGGCCCAACTCGATCAAGCTAATCCCTGCTGCCTCCAGCCTCCTCAAACCCCAATGTCAATCCRACCAATCACGTCTCGGGCCATCTCTGTCCACATCAAGACCTCCGCCAATCACGAGCAGGGACGTCTCTGCCCACAGGACAAAACCTACTGCAGAGACCCCTTACTCCACTACACTGATAATATGTTCAAGTCACTTATCCTGTTGCCACCATTTCTGCTGGATGGCTTATTACACACTGGGGGAAATGTGAAAATGGCGGCACAGGCCAGTGCTCCCTCATAAATCACTGATGAGGCTGGGTACATCCTGCTCAGATGTGAGTTTTCAGAAATGAAGCGGGGAATCATAGAACCAAATAAAGCAGAATTCAGCTGCGATATTGTGGAGCACGAGGCATTTAACACATGACAGCATCTTCCTAGAGTCGGGCTGGGCAAATTCATACTGTGTGCAATTAATCAGAAAACACTTCATTGGTTTTTATGTGGAACTTTGCGTTCATGCCACCAGGCAGGGGTTTCCCTGATAATCCGCCTGGCATTCCTCTTCTCTTTTCCACTTCTAATCCAAATAATGGATCGCCTACTTCCTCGTAAAAGTCCTCACTCTGTCTCAGACTGCTTATCCCCTCCAACTCTGCCTTTGAGCTTCCCTCCTCCTCGCCTTGAAAAGGTTGTGCCTGCAGCTCGGTCCATCTGTCTGCAGCTCCACGTTCAAATATTGCCTCGTTGTTTTGACTCAAAGACACTAAAACTGACTAAACTAAGCTACAACCTAACTATAAAACCTGAGCACGCTAAATATCATAAATCTGTCAAATCTTTTGGGGGATTTATGTTAGTTTGGCGGAGTGAGGGTGGATTGAGATTTTTTTTTTCATAAATTTGCCCGTCTTTCGTTGCCTCCCACTGCAACATGCTTTTAACTTGACCAACATTAAATAAAAAAACAAAACGTTCCGTAAATTATTTATCGTAACTTGGCCTATCAATACAATTAAAACTAATGTATACTTTGAAGTCTTTACTTTTGACACAAAGTAGAAGATTCTTACTGAGAGTATATCTTTCCCACTAGGACTGCACGACATACCATTTTAGCATCRTCATTGCGATGTACCTGAGCAACAAAATCAACTTGTAARCCACAAGTCACTAAACAGCTTTTACTTTGATGACACCCACGGCCTGTATAAATGCAAAACTAATACCACAAAAATCAATAAACAATATGACCTTTTAATTACCTGGGAAATTATCCGACYATATTCACAGACCACACAGAGTTTATTTTAAATGAAAGTTTTGCCCACGTTTGATTTGTTGGGCAAAAACCTCACTTTGTTATGAAGTGTTCACAGAATGAAAGAAAGTAGGCGATCAAATTCTGAAACTACATTCAGATTAGAGATGGTTGAGCTGGTGGACCAATTATTCTGTCAATAGTTGCCTTTTGTTTTTATTGTGTATGTGCCATTGCCTGTAAAAAATTAGTTATTTTAAGTGTTGTTGAATAAATGCTCCTATAGATGAGCGTATGTTATTTACAGGTTAGGTGAAAAAAAACAGTAATGCAATGATCGTAGTGGCTATTTAGACCACAGTTTTAGATTTTTTTTAAGCATTGAATTGGTTGTCATTGTCATGCCAGGTCACTAGATGTTGCTGTGATTTTTGTATTTCAACAACCACAATTGCCACAATTAAATCGATTAATCGACGACTAAGATGACTAATTCAATAATCGATTAATCGTTTTCTTTTTTTTTTGTTTGTTGTTCTTTGCTTTGTTTTTCTCTCCAAACTGCTTTGACACCTTCCACTGCCACATCTGCCTTTCTGTCCTTGACACACATGCAGTGGTAAC